CCTCTGGCCTTCTGCGAGCCTACTGTCGTGCACGAGGCATCCGCCAGACCTTCACGCTTCCGGACTCTCCACAGCAAAATGGGATTGCTGAGCGCCGCATTGGCATGGTCATGGACGTCGCCCGTACGTCCATGATGCATGCGGCTGCCCCCCATTTTCTGTGGCCGTTTGCGGTTCGGTACGCGGCGCATCAGATCAACCTTCACCCTAGGGTCTCCTGGCCGGAGACCTCCCCAGCTTTGCTGTGGACGGGGAAGGTTGGCGATGCGTCTGCGTTCCGTGTCTGGGGATCTCGGGCGTTTGTCCGCGACTTGTCTGCGGACAAGCTGTCCCCTCGTGCTGCTCCTTGCGTCTTCCTTGGCTTCCCCCCTGACGCGCCAGGGTGGCAGTTCTACCACCCCACCTCTCGCCGTGTTCTGTCCTCCCAGGACGTCACGTTTGACGAGTCGGTCCCCTACTACCGCCTCTTCCCCTACCGCACTCCGTCCCTCCCCCCACCACCGCTCTTCCTTGTGTCAGGTCCCCCCCCGGTAGACCCCCTCCCCCCTCAGGGTCCTGCCCCTTCAGGTGTGTCCCAGGTAGACGCAGTCGAGCCTGTCGAGGTTACTGGTGACTCTGGTGCTGCTGAGGGTGCTGAGCCTGGGGGTGCTGACTCTGGGGGTGCTGAGCGTGTGGGTGCTACGCCTGGGGGTGCTGAGCCTGAGGGTGCTACTACTGGGGGTGCTGAGCCTGGGGGTACTGAGCCTGGAGGTGCTACTACTGGGGGTGCTGAGCCTGGGGGTGCTGAGCCTGGGGGTGCTGAGCCTGGGGGTGCTACGCCTGGAGGTGCTGAGCCTGGGGGTGCGGAGCCTGAGGGAGCTGGGCCTGCTTGTGTGGCGTCTGGCGGTGCTGAGCCTGGAGGTTCTCCGGGTGCTTCGTCTCGGCGGGAGCCACTCTCTCCACAGGAGCTGCGCGAGTGGTTTGCCCGGCGCTGGAGGCGTGCTGCTGGTACTGGAGGTTCTTCGGCTACTGAGGGTGCTGGTGCCGCGGGTCCCGGAGGTGCTCGTACTGGGAGTACTGGAGCTGCTGGGCCTACGGGTACGACTGGAGCTGGAGCTGCTGAGGGTGTTGACGCTGAGGCTACTGCTGTCGGTCCTGGAGGCGGTCCTGCTGGAGGTGCTCCTGGTGCTGCTGGAGGTACTGGAGCTGGAGGTGCTGCTGGCGCTGGTGCTGCCGCTGGGGGTACTGGTGCTGTCCCTGCTGTGTCTGGAGTCGCCGCGCGGCCTCGGCCGTACTTCGTTCCGCTCCTTCAGCAGGTTCTTGGTCTCCCGCCTTCTACTGGTCCTCCTCCTCCCTTAGAGTGTCCACAGCCTGTCCTGTCACAGTTACGGTTACAGCCGGCCTCCCCACTGCCCGCTCCTTCTCCCTACACTGGTCCTACTGGAGGTCTTGCCGAGCGTCGTGAGCCTGCGTCGCGTCCTGCGTCGCCTGTCCGTACTGCTCGCGCTAGTGGTCGTGGTTCGCGTCAGCGTCCTCCTCCTGTCCCTGGCACGCACCGGATGTCTCTGCGTCCGTCCACTACTCCTCTGCGTGCCCCTTTGCCTTCTCCTCCTGAGTCCTCTCTTCCTGCTCTTCCCGACCCGGAGTCGGACTCTCTTCGTGCTGCCAGTCCTACTGTCACGCGTCTCCTTGCTACTGTCGTCACTGACCCTTCCTTTGCGTCCACTGCTGCGTCTGCCCTAGTTGCTGAGCTCGTCGACTTTGCTGCTCACTGTCGTCTAGACTACGCTGCTTGTCTTGTCGCTGAGTCTGAGTCTGTCTGTCCTCCGTCCGTCGGGGGTGAGTGTGCCCTTGGCACGGACGTCCTTGAGGACAGGCAGGAGGAGTTCCAGTGTTTGGCTGCTGCTTCACCTCATCTCGTGTCCGTAGTGCTTACCCCTGAGGGAGACCCGGATGCACTTGACATCCCGACTCCGCGCTCTTACGCGGAGGCGATAGAGGGTCCCTACTCCTCTCAGTGGCAGGCAGCTATGGACACAGAGATGGCTTCCTGGAAGTCCACAGGCACCTACGTTGACGAGGTTCCCCCGCCTGGGGCGAACATCGTCAGTGGCATGTGGATTTTCAGGGTGAAGCGGCCGCCGGGTTCTCCGCCTGTCTTCAAGGCGCGTTACGTGGCTCGTGGCTTCAGTCAGCGGCAGGGAGTTGACTACTTTCAGACCTTCTCTCCCACCCCGCAGATGACCACTCTTCGGGTACTGCTGCACATAGCTGCTCACCGCGACTACGAGCTGCACTCTCTTGACTTCAGCACTACTTTCTTGCAGGGCAGCCTGCACGAGGAGATCTGGCTGCGTCGCCCACCTGGCTTCACTGGGTCTTTTCCTCCTGGCACCCAGTGGAGCCTCCGGCGGCCAGTCTACGGTCTCCGCCAGGCACCGCGTGAGTGGCACGACACACTGAGGACTACACTTGCGGCTCTTGGGTTTGCTCCCTCTACTGCCGACCCGTCGCTGTTTCTGCGCACCGACACTTCTTTGCCGCCGTTCTACATCCTCGTGTACGTCGACGACTTGGTCTTTGCCACAGCTGACACTGCTGGACTCGCCCACGTGAAGTCCGAGCTGCAGAAGAGACACACGTGCACAGACCTGGGTGAACTGCGCAGCTACCTTGGCTTGCAGATCACTCGGGACAGAGCACGCCGCACCATTACCCTGACTCAGTCACACATGGTGCAGCAGGTCCTTCAGCGCTTCGGCTTCACGTACTCCTCGCCTCAGGCCACTCCTCTGCCTACTCGCCACTCGCTCTCAGCTCTGCCTTCGGATGAGTCCGTAGAGTCGAGTGGCCCGTACCCAGAGCTTGTTGGCTGCCTCATGTACCTGATGACCTGCACACGACCTGACCTTGCATACCCTCTTAGCATTCTCGCACGCTATGTTGCTCCTGGGAGACACAGACCGGAGCACATGGCTGCAGCAAAGAGGGTGTTGCGCTACTTGTGCAGTACGTCGGGCATGGGGCTTGTGCTTGGAGGGCAGAGTCCAGTGGTCCTCACTGGGCACGCAGACGCTTCTTGGGCTGACGACCAGGCTACGCAGCGGTCGTCACAGGGTTACACCTTCAGCCTTGGTTCCGGCTCTGTTTCGTGGCGGGCTACCCGCTCGTCTTCTGTTCTCGGCTCCAGTTGTGAGGCTGAGATCTACGCCGGGGCCATGGCTGCACAGGAGCTTCGCTGGCTCACCTACCTGCTGACTGACCTCGGAGAGCCGCCTCGTTCTCCTCCAGTGCTGTACGTAGACAACAAGGCCATGCTGGCCTTGTGTCGAGAGCAGAGACTGGAGCACAGAACGAAGCACATTGCTCTCCGCTACTTCCTTGCTCGTGAGCTACAGCAGCGTGGTCAGCTGCGGCTTGCGTACGTGGCCTCTGAGGCCAACACTGCTGATATCTTCACCAAGGCACTTGCGCCTTGTGATCATCAGCGTTTCTGTACTCAGCTGGGCCTTGTGCCTACCTTGCCTCACTTGCTCACCCCTTGACCTTGTTTGTACTGTTGCATATATATATACACCTGCTCTTGCTTGTCTAGCCTTATATATATATGTAATCCTGCATGTGAACTGGCCTTGTGGCCTTGAACTTGTGCTCGGAATGTGTGGTGACTTTGTGATCCACCCTGAGCTTGCTTTGCTTTGCTTGACTGGTCTTGTGACCCCTTGTTCTCCCCCACTTTGCCTATGGGGGTGTGTTAGATTTATATGACAGAGCTACTGTAGGCTATAGTGGGGTAGCACATATGGGGTACAGTTTTCTAGGGTTTGTATTTGTTCCCAACTTTCCCTTAGTCATTTTCATTCCTCGTTTCTTCTCAATAATAAGTAAAGGTTTTCTAGGGGGGGCGCTTATAATTGAGGACCGGCCATAAGCGCCATGCTCCAGATATATGCGCCGGCACCTTTAATAGGACGGCGTCCATATCCGGGGCCATACGGTATTTTTTTGTACACATTCTTATTGCAACGATTTCCAACAGTGTGGCGCGAGAACCCGTTTCAAACCTGTTCTCGCTCTTTTCATTTCAATTGTTTCTGCCTGCATCAATCCACATCTGGCGGTTGCTGGTGTCGCTTCGACTCTTCTGACCCGTCGACTTCGTACTCGATAGAGCCTACAGGAATGCCTACATAATTATTTTCACATCATAACAATACCCGCGTGGAAAATATTTTCTGCGGCGAGTTTGGGGACAACTGGCAAAAACGAAGTGATAGCAGAAGTGTAAAAGGGGCTAAAACTACTAGATACTAACACTTACTAGCATAAATCAAATAACCGCCAACTCTTTTAGGTGACCTTCATGCGATAAAAGCTCTCCTTGGAAAAATTGTGTCGTATGCCATTGTAACGAGGTGGCTTTTGAGCAGACGACTCGCTCGATGCGCCGTGGCCCTGCGCCCCGTTAGCGCCTTCGCCCTCGCTAGCCTTGGCGCCACGCGGTCCCGTTAGCCCGTCGCCGCCGCTGCCAGTCACGCCTAGGCCGCCCGTCCCCCCCCGTGGAGCCCGTCACCCCTAAGGCCGCCCGTCGCCCCGTGCATCCCGCCGCACTTAGGAAGGTCCCCCTCGGGCCCCTCCCGTCGCGCGTTGAAAGGCCCCCGCGGGCCCTTCCTCTCGTCGCGCTCCTGCCGTCGCGCCTCGTCAATACGGGGATGCTGCTCGGTATCAGGCTCGGCAGTTACTCCGTGCATAGACTTGACAGTTGGCTCAACGGTACACTTGCAAACAGGCTCGGTCGTTACTCCGTGCGCCGCTGCGTTGGGCACGAGTGCGAGCGAGGAGGGGCGGCGCCAGGCGCGCGGAGAAGAGAAGGTGAAGGCGCGCGAGTGACTTGGGCTCGAGGGAGGGCCGCGCCAGCACCTGCGCCAGCACCTGCACCTGCACCTGCACCTGCACCTGCAGCTGCAGCTGCAGCAGCTGCGGTTGCCACTGCCACTGCCAGCCGCGCGGGCGGTGAGCGCATGGCGAGGGGTGCGGGTACAGGGGCAGGGGTACTGGCCGGTCTGCGCGAGCGGGGAGGGGGTGAGGCGGAGGGACGAACGAGAGGGGACGCGCAGCAAGGGTGCACGGAGGGGAGGGAGAAGAGCGAAGCGGGCGAGAGGAGCGAAGGGGGCAGGGGCGAGGGGGTGGTGGCGCAAGGCCTGGCAGCCGGTGCATGCGAAGATGAGACGAGCGCGCGCAGAGGCCGCGGGCAGCTAGATCGGGGGGCAGCAGCGGGGCGGCCACGGGAGGAGGCGAGAGGCGACGGCCACGGGCACGGGCAGGGGCAGGGGCAGGGGCAGGGGCAGGGGCAGGGGCAGGGGCAGGGGCGGCGGGTGATTGTGATATCGGGGCCCACAGCAGTGGGCAAGTCGCGGCTGGCGCTGGCGGTGGCGGAGGCGGTGCGGGGCGGCGAGGTGGTGAGTGCGGACTCGGTGCAGGTGTACCGCGGGCTGGACGTGGGGTCTGCCAAGGCCTCCCTTGAGGAACAGCGCCGCGTGCCACACCACCTGCTGGATATCCGCGAGCCGTGGCAAGGTGGGGCGTGGCGAGGTGGGGCAAGGTGAGTGGGGCGTGGTGAGGTGAGGTGGCGGGGCCGTGCAGAAAGGCAAGAAAGGTGAGCAGGGTGCGAGTAAGGTGCAGGGTGCGAGTAAGGTGCAGGGTGCGAGTAAGGTGCAGGGTGCGAGTAACGTGCAGGGTGCGAGTAAGGTGCAGGGGGCGAGTAAGGTGCAGGGTGCGAGTAAGGTGCAGGGTGCGAGTAAGGTGCAGGGGGCGAGTAAGGTGCAGGGTGCGAGTAAGGTGCAGGGTGCGAGTAAGGTGCAGGGTGCGAGTAATGTGCAGGGTGCGAGTAAGGTGCAGGGGGCGTGCAGGGAGGGAGCCAGGCGAGGTAGCTTGATGATGACCATGAGACAGACAGGGCATCAGCAGCAGCATGTGAGCAGCAGCATGTGAGCAGGAGTATGCCCCCTCGTCCTCCCCACTTTCATCCCGCCTTTGCACCCCCCAGAGTTCACAGCAGGCGACTTTTACGAGGCGGCGTGCACGGCCGTGGAGGGTGTGGTGCAGCGGGGGGGCGTGCCGGTGGTGGTGGGCGGCACGGGGCTGTACCTCGCATGGCTGCTGCACGGCCGCCCCGCCACGCCCCCCTCCTGCCCCAACCTGGAACGCGCCGTTGCGGGCGAGATCGAGGCCGCTGTGATGCAGGCGAGGAGGGCGAGGAGGGGGGAGGGGACGAGGGCGGATGAGAGGGGGGATGAGAGGGGGGATGTGAGGGGGGATGAGAGGGGAGATGAGAGGAGCGTAGCGGCGGTTGGTGGGGCAGAAGAGGCAGTAGGTGGGGGTGAGGGGGATGCAGCAGCGGGAAGGGCGTCAGTAGCCGACGCAGTGAGGGGCGGCTTGGAGAAAGAGTTGAGTGCTGACGGGAGGATCGAGGAGGGCAACGATGGTGTGGGTGTGGGGGGAATGGAGGAGGAGATGGGGGGCCAGGGCGAAGCAGGGAGAGAGAGAGAGGCGAGGGAGCGGGGGTGGGCGAGCAGGCAGCCGCGTGTGAGGTATTCGGAGGAGGGCGACTGGGAGGCCGCTCTGGCTGCCCTTGCTGCTGCGGGCGACCCAATCACAGCAGGCCAGCTGGCACGGAATGACTGGTACCCGGCTGACCAGGGCGTTTGAGATTCTCAGGGTATGTGTGCGTGTGGGAGGCAGTGTGTGCGTGTGGGAGGCAGTGTGTGCGTGTGGGAGGCAGTGTGTGCGTGTGGGAGGCAGTGTGTGCGTGTGAGGGGCACTGTGTGCGTGTGGAGGGGGCAAGAGTGGTGAAGAGGCAGGAGTGCTCAAAGCATAGTCGTGGAGAGTGTCCGGCATCCAGCGACAGTGAGCGACTCTAAATCCCCCATGCCACCGTCCTCTCCTTCCCTCCTCTTCACCTTCAAGACCATGTTCCCTCCTTTCCACGTCACGGCTTTGTTTTCCAAGCCTGTCTAAGCGTGTGCCTGTTTCCCCTCCCTCAGGCCACGGGGCGGCCTCGATCAGAGATCACCGTGCCTTCCCACGAGGCCAAACACACCTCCCCGCCTGCTGCTGCTGCTGCTGCTGCCGCTGCCTCGTCACCTCCACCTTTCGCCTTCCATTGTTTCTTCCTGGACGCCCCTCGCCTGCCCCTGTACCGCCGTATAGATCGACGCTGCGAAGAGATGGTGCAAGGTGAGGCGAGCCTTGCTGCTTGCTTGCTAGGTGGAAGGACTTATGGCCTTTGAGATTCTACCGAGCAAATGCTCGTACGTGGTGACTCCAGTCCGCTGCACCCTCCTTTCACCATTGCCCTCACCTACACCACTTGAGTCCACACTCCTTTCACCAACCCACGGCTCCCGCGCCCTCGCCCTCATGCATCCATCTCTTGCCTTCCTCTTCATGCCCCATCGTCCTATGCCCTCTCTCGCGCTCTCTCCGCCCGTGCAGCGGGCAGGCGGGCTGCTGGAGGAGAGTGTGGCGCTGCTGCGGGCGGGGCTGCACCCCGAATCCTCATGCATCCATCTCTTGTCTTCCTCTGCATGCCCCATCGCCCCGTGCGCTCTCTCCGTGTGGCCGGTCGGTAGGCCGGCTGCTGGAGGAGAGTCTGGCGCTGCTGCGGGCGGGGCTGACCCCCGACTCCTCCTCGCCCACATGCCACATCCTCCCGTGCCCTCTCCTGTGCTCTCTCCTCCCATGCGGTTGGCAGGCGGGCTGCTGGAGGAGAGTGTGGCGCTGCTGCGGGCGGGGCTGCACCCCGAATCCCCATGCATCCATCTCTTGTCTTCCTCTGCATGCCCCATCGCCCCGTGCGCTCTCTCCGTGTGGCCGGTCGGCAGGCGGGCTGCTGGAGGAGAGTCTGGCGCTGCTGCGAGCGGGGCTGCACCCCGACTCCTCCTCACCCACACGCGCCATCGGCTACCGCCAGGCCATGGCCTTCCTGCTGCACTGCCAGCGCCTCATGGGGCAAGCGAGGACCACTGAGGAGCAAGAGCAACGGGTGGAAGAGCAACGGGTGGAAGAGCAACGGGTGGAAGAGCAACCGGTGGAAGTGGCGTTGCAGGAGGCGCTGCAGGCGGCGCTGTTGGCGTTTATCTTGGAGTTTCAGCAGGCGTCGCGGCGCTACGCCAAGCGCCAGACCACGTGGTTCCGCTCCCAACCACTCTTCCAATGGCTGCCCGCTCACACCCCCCTGGTGAGAGGAATCGCCCCCCTGGTGAGGCAGTGTCAAACAATAGAAGTGCGTGAAGTCGCAGAGGTGCGTGAAGCAGCCGTGTGTTGATGTGTGTCAACGCACTTACTGCTGCCTGCTTCTCACCTCGCCCATGTGAGCTGCTGTACTCGTGTGCAGTTGCTCACTCGATTCCACCGCTCCATGTTCCCCCTCCCCCCTGCCCTCCATGTTCCCCCTCCCCCCTGCCCTCCATGTTCCCCCTCCCCCCTGCCCTCCATGTTCCCCCTCCCCCCTGCCCTCCATGTTCCCCCTCCCCCCTGCCCTCCATGTTCCCCCTCCCCCCTGCCCTCCATGTTCCCCCTCCCCTCTGCCCGCCCCAGGACGAGCTGGTGGAGATGGTGCTGCGCGACTTTGATGGGTCGACGGGTGGGGAGGGGCAGGCGGGTGGGGAGGTGCAGGCAGGTGGGGAAGGGCAGGGGGATGGAGTGGAGCAGGGGGGTGGGGAAGGAAGATTTGGGGCAGAGAGGGAAGGGGGGCAGGGTGGTGTTGGAGGAGGGGGCAGTGGGGGGGCGTGGGAAAAGGCGGTGAGGCGAGAGCATCGCAGGGGGAGCAAGGAGGAGGAGCGGGCGCTGAAGGGGTATCGGGCACAGCTGGAGTACGACTCACGACTCTCTCTCACCCCCCCCTCGCATGCTCTCTGCATCTTCCACCCTCTCTTGCGCTCGTGCCTGCACTGCACTGTCCTCACCTGCTCTCTTCAGTTTTCGCCTGCTCTCCTCTTTCCTCGCTTGCTCTCATTTGTCCACCAGTGCATGGGTGGTGTGCACCATGCCGAGCAGGCAGTGTCAGACCAGCCGTCCATACAGCTTACCGTGCTGTCCTGCCCCCCCCCCCCCCCCCCCCCCCCCCCCTCACCCGCCCGATGTGTGTTTCACAGGATTTACTGTGACCAGAATGCCATCGATGCCACGCTGGCGTGGATTCGAGCCAACGTCACGCCGCACCAACAGGGCTCACAGAGCGAGCAAGGCAACGCTGCTGCTGCAGGTGTGCCCCTCGTAGAGACATGAGGGGAAGCCGCAGCACAGCCTGCTATGATAACTTGAGAATCCATTCATGGCGTGTTCCTACGGCCTGTTATCAGGCTAACCTCTTCTATTCAGGCTTAATGCTCCACGCAGGTGATAAGACACAGACTTTAATGTAAAAGTGTTGCGCGATGAACCAGTGCTGACTTCAGGCTTTAAAATCAGCAGTGGCTTCAAAGCACTGTTATTAAATGTGAAACCAACTTTATGAGGTTGCTACACAATTTGATTTGCACTTGTTACATGTTTCGCTTCGTGAAGGGTCTCGCGGCCTTGAAAGGCCACAAATCCGTGCGGTGCAGACTTTCGCAGCCACTCAGTGACCCCCACGTGCTCTGCACGACGCCATTTTCCAGTGGAGGGATGCCTCCTTGGGATTGGGGGGAAGGTAAGTTGGTCGCCCCCGCCACACCCTCCTCGAGCACATCCCCGCTGCAAGCCGGCTTGGCAACACCACAGAACGGTGCTGTTCAGTCCTGCGGCAGCGCATCACCAGAGTGAGGGCGACGTGTGCGGGGCACTGTTTTTCGGCGGGAAGAATCTGCGCCCGAGGACACTACTACACCAAGACGCCCCTGCATTTTCTATGGCGCTCCGCTTTCAGTCAAATCGTTCCGCTCATGTGTCCGCCATCCGCCAAAGTCCACGCTACAGACGTGGTTCTGATTACCTGTAATATGGTTCAAAACGTTACAGAGTGGTGACATCATCTTGTCGCCTCCTCGCAGCAAAGCCGCTGGGAAAGGGCGACGCACATCTGAACTGAACCACTGGATGCAACCTTGGTACCGGTAGTGCAACAATTCTACAACAATTCATTATGATCGTCGCCTCGCCATAGAATGCCCGATTGAGAAATAGCCGCATCCCCCTCCCCCATCTCCTCCCACTCCTTTCCCCTCCGCTCCTCCCCCTTCTCCCCTCCCCTCCCCTCCCCTCCCCTCCCCTCCCCTCCCCTCCCCTCCCCTCGGTGAGCATTTTCTCCGCCCTCGAGCGCATTGGTCCCCTCACTGCGCTGCGCCATCTCCTTGCGCAGCACTCCCTGTAATGTTACCCACCCCTCCCCCCTTCCCCACGTTTCAGTGCAACCAGAGCGCCATGGAAGTGCGTTAGGCAACGTGTCGGGTAGAGCACGCATAGATGAGTCACACGCTGTGCTGCCGTCAAACCATTCGAGTCGAGACGAGAGCCTCGATGCAGCCGCAATATTGCTGGAATATTTGGAATAGTTGGAATAAGAGTCAATGGATGTGGCTGTCTCGCGAGTCCGTGTGAGGCTCCGGTCACTTACTGCTGATCGTCACGCAGCCTGCAGTGCAATGAGCGCAAGGAAATGCATTTAGAGTGGTAAACTTAGTTAGCCAACAGCAGCTGCTTGGGTTAGGTCAGAGGCGAACGGACTAGCCCGCATAGGAATTAGGTCGCACCGCGTCCGTTGCTAGCAAGAATACCTTCATTGTTCATTATTCTGCTTGAATATTCTTAAACAACAGTAACGATTAGTCATCATGTCGTCGACGTCTAAATCCAAGTCGCGCGTGCGCCTCTCGCGGCTCCTCTCATACGCGGGGTGCATCCGGCCCCGCGCAGACGAGAGCGAGCTGGTCGGAGAGAAGGGCTTTCAGCGCCACGTGTACTGCAACGAGCCGCATCACCACGTGGAGAAAGGCAGTCCGCTTCGTTATTGTAACAACTCAATTTCCACCACTAAATACTCGATACTGTCCTTCCTCCCCAAGGCGCTATTCGAGCAGTTCCGCCGCGTCGCCAATCTCTACTTCCTGCTCTGCGCCATCCTCGCGCTCACGCCGTTAACGCCGTACGCGCCGTACAGTCTGATCGCGCCGCTCGTGCTGGTGGTGGGCGTGAGCATGATCAAAGAGGCCATCGAAGACTGGCGCCGATATCTTGCCGTGAGTTCTGGTCACAGTCACGGATGTGATTGTAACGGATGTCTTTCAGGAACATCGCAATGAGCTAGGGGGTTCGAGGAGCGGTTGGAACCAGAATGGAGGGTGAAATGGTTGTTGGGCTAACGGTCTTTCCGACGCAACGCAATCAAGCTCCCTCTTTCCCCTCTTGTAACCTCACCTTCCCCCCCCTCGCCCCTCCCCCTTCCCCCCTTCTCGCGTCTTTCCACAAGCTCCCACGCCGTTCCTCCTCCCAACCCTCGTCCTCCAGCCACCCCACCCCTCCCCCGTAACCCTTTTCTTCCCACTTCCCCCTAGTACTTTACCCCACCCATCCCTCAATTCCCCCTTCTCTCCCCCTCCCCCTTCACCCCTCACTCACCCCTCTCTTTTTCCCCCTCCCCCTTCCCCCTCCACGTCCGCCAGGTCGACGAGGTGAACAAGCGCAAGGTGCTGCGCCACGTGGAGGGGCGACTTTTGAGGCCCCTCACACGCCTCTTTACCCCTTCCCCTTCCCCCTTCCCCTTCCCCCTTCCCCTTCCCCTTCCCCTTCCCCGTCCGCCAGGACGACGAGGTGAACAAGCGCAAGGTTCTGCGCCATGTGGGCGAGGGGCGGTTCGAGCCGTGCGAGTGGAAGGCGGTGCGCGTGGGCGACGTAGTTAAAGTGCTCAAGGACGAGTTCTTCCCCGCCGACCTCCTAATGCTCGCCTCCAGCTACCCGGACGGCGTGTGCTACGTCGAAACAATGAATCTGGACGGCGAGACGAATCTTAAACTGCGTAAGGCGCTCGAGCGCACGCTGCCGCTCGAGGACCCCGAGGCGCTGGCGAAATTCACGGCGGAGATTAAGTGCGAGGACCCGAACCCGAGTTTGTACACGTTTGTAGGGAATCTAGAGTGGGACGGCGAGGCGACGTCGCTGACCGCGGCGCAGGTGCTGCTGCGCGACTCGAAGCTGCGCAACACGGCGTGGGTGGTAGGGGTGGTTATTTTTACCGGCCACGACAGCAAAGTCATGATGAACTCGACCGCGGCGCCGTCGAAGCGCAGCTCGATCGAACGGCGCATGGATAAGATCATCTACTTCCTCTTCGCCTGCCTGCTGCTGATGGCGATCGTGGGGAGTATCATTTTCGGCATACGCACCAAGAATCAGATGCCGTCCTGGTGGTACCTCGCGCCGACCGACACTAACGCGTACTATGACCCCGCGAAACCCGCCACGTCGTCCGTGCTGCAGTGCCTGACGGCGATCATCCTGTACGGTTACCTCATCCCTATTTCGCTATACGTGTCGATCGAGATCGTTAAGATCTTCCAGGCGTGGTTCATTAGCGCCGATCGCGGGATGTACTTCGCGGAAACGGACATGCCGGCGCGCGCGCGCACGAGTAATTTGAACGAGGAGCTAGGGCAAGTGGATACGGTGCTAAGCGACAAAACGGGCACGCTGACGTGTAACCAGATGGATTTCCTCAAGTGCTCCATTGCCGGCGTCGCGTACGGCCGCGGGATTACCGAGGTCGAGCGCGCCACGGCGCGGCGGCTCGGGCGCGATCTGAGCGAGCTGGAGGATTACGACGAGGAGGAGGAGCGCGCCGCGGCGGAGGCGGCGGCGAACGGGACGGCGAAGCCGGGGGTTAAGGGGTTCGCGCTGCGGGATAATAGGCTCCTGGACGGCGCGTGGCTGCGCGAGCCGCACCGCGAGGAGATCCGCGCGTTCCTGCGCGTGCTGGCCGTGTGCCACACCGTCATTCCCGAGGTGGACGAAGCTTCCGGGCAGGTGGAGTACGAGGCGGAGTCGCCGGACGAGGCGGCGTTCGTGGAGGCGGCGCGGCAGATGGGCGTGGCGTTCTTCAAGCGCACGCAGACGACCGTTTGGGTGCGCGAGCCGGACGAGACAGGGCAGAACACTGTTGACAGGTGAGGGGGGGTGGAGCAGCGTGCAGGGGTGAGAAGGGAAAAGCAACGTGGACGGGTGAGGAGGGGAGTCATCCCTCCCCTCATCATCTCTCCCCTCATCATCCCTCCCCTCATCATCCCTCCCCTCATCATCCCTCTCCTCATCATCCTTCCCCCTCATGGGACTGGGAGAGAATATGCGATCCTGGCAGTGACCGCTCATTGCGGATTGTTGTACCCATTCACATCCAACAGGGAGTACACGATCCTGGCACTGATAGAGTTCAACTCCACCCGCAAGCGCATGTCAGTGGTGGTCCGAGACCCCTCCAACCGCATCCTCCTCATGACCAAGGGCGCCGACTCCGTCATATACGAGCGCCTAGCGCCCACCGGGCGGCAGCATTTGGAAGCTACCCGGGCCACGCTGCACCGGTACGGTGAGGCAGGGCTGCGGACGCTGGCGCTGGCGTACAGGGAGTTGAGTGAGGAGGAGTGCGGGGAGTGGCTGGAGCGGTTTGAAGGGGCGCGGAGGAGTCTGAGTGCGGAGAGGGAGGCGCTGGTGGATGCTGCTGCGGAGGAGATTGAACAGGGGCTGACGCTGCTGGGGGCCACTGCTGTGGAGGATAAGCTTCAGCAAGGGGTGAGTTGGGTGGGGTTGGGAAGGGTGTGGGTGGGAAGGGAGAAGGAAGTTTGACACAGAAGCAGGTTGGTTAAGGGAGGTTTAGGGCGCCGTCAATTCTCACGGCAAGGGCGCTCACCTGGAGGAGGTGTGTAAGAATTGAGTCGCGGTATGGCACGTGACTCTTTTCAATCGCCGACCCCACCAGTGACATCACCACTCTTGGGGTGACCAACACATGAACACGGACACGGGGATGCACATATCACAGAATCTGCTTCCACCCCTGAGTTCACCAGAGGTACTTACTACTCACAGGAGCGTCGCTCCCCTCAAGCCACCTTGTGCCCCTCATCCCTCCCCCCCGCACCCTGCTCGTCCCCCTTGTTCGTCCCTTCCCCCCTTTCCCCCACCCCCTCGGCCTGCTCCCCCACCACTCTGCTCATCCTCCAGTCTGCTCTGTTCATTCCCCCCCTTACTCACCCCCCATCTTACTTACCTCGCACCCTGCACCCTTGAGATCTGGGTGTTCTCTTCTCACATTCCCCTCCTCAGGTACGGGAGGCAATTGACCGGCTGACACAGGCAGGCATCAAGATCTGGGTGCTCACCTCTTGCTCCCCCCTCCTCTCCCGCTGTCCCCCCTGTTCTCCCCCTTGCTCCCCCCCCCTGCCCCCCCCCCCCCCCCCCCCGCCCCCCCCCCGCCCCCTTTCCCCCCCGCAGGTACCGGAGGCAATAGACCGGCTGGCACAGGCGGGCATCAAGATCTGGGTGCTCACAGGAGACAAGCTGGAGACGGCCATCAACATCGGGTGAGATGACACTGGTAGCAGGGAGATGAAACGGGTAGCAGAGAGATGAAACGGGTAGCAGGGACATGAAACGGGTAGTAGGGTGTTGAAACGGGTAGCAGGGAGATGAAAGGGGACTTTTCCCCTACTCCCCACTCCCCAATCCCACGTCACATGTCTTCCTCGTTTTGCAGTTTCGCATGCTCGTTGCTGCGGGACGACATGAAACAGATTGTGGTGTCGCTCCACTCACCCTACATTCTCTCCACCGTACCTTACCTCCCCCATTCTCCCCCGCTCATCCCTCCCCTGTAATCCCCCCTGTTATCAGCTTCGCGTGCTCGTTGCTGCGGGACGACATGAAGCAGATCGTGGTGTCGCTCGACTCGCCTGACATTCGCAAGCTCGAGGACACTGGGGACAAGGAAAAACTCGCTGCTGTGAGTAGCATGTGGTGATGTTCACTGCTGTGCTGTGCTGTGCTGTGCTGTGCTGTGCTGTGCTGTGCTGTGCTGTGCTGTGCTGTGACTGCGCTGTGCTGTGCTGTGTTGTTCTGTGACTGCGCTGCGCTGTGCTGTACGCTGGAGGCAAAGAGAAGCTTCCTGCTGTGTGTAGCACGGGTAGCTTCAAGTTTACCTGCTGTGCTGTCCAGATGTGTGCCTGTGGCTCTGCCTGTGCCTTTCCTGTGCTGAATGTGCTGATGACTCGTTACACTGGAGCACGCCAGGACAGAGGCCAGGTCAATGTCCTGTTCCACGTGCAAGGGGCACGCACATTCGTGGCCGTTGATCATTGGGAGTGTGGAAAGGGAAAGGTGCAGTGCTTCTGGTGTAGTGGTGTAGTTCAGTTCTGTCTGATATGGTGAAAATGCATATGTTCTCAGTCTCATGCCTTCCTCTCCCATCCAGGCTTCACTCGTGAGTGGAGTGGAGGATAGGAAGCAATGGTGCTGAGGCACCCGCGCTCGCTCATACACCCCACCCCACCCCACCCCAACCCACCCC